GATATGATGGTTGCAGATCCCATGACCAAAGGTCTTTCTGTAAAGGTGTTTTCAAAACACGTTGAGGGCATGGGACTGATTGGTTAGCTCAATAATTTTTCTAGTTATTGTTTTATTTTGTTTTGTCATGACATTTTGATTATTATTAGTGAAAAGCATCATTTTGTGCACTTAAAGTATTTGTAATGCTATGTAGTCTGCTAAAATTCAAAGACAAAGCTCATAAGATGGAGTAGGTTATCCCTACCTTGAATGATGGGGCTCAACGAAGGAGATGAAGAAACGGAAATGCTCCAAATCCCGAAATTTTCAGATTAAAAGATAGCCCTCGACGATCAACACAACTTTTGTAAAGGCCCAAGGTGAGAAAACAACTCCTACTAGATCAATCCTAAGAGAGAAGTTAGGGTTTTAGTGAGAGGAGCTCTCAAAACACCTTTTTGGAAAAGTAAGAGAGAGAAGAGATGTTGGAAAGTGAACAAAAAGGTCGGATCTCGGCTTTATATAAAAGTCGCCCCGCTCGAGCGTCCAATCCCCCGCTCGAGCGGCGGATGCACGCTCCCAGAACTTTTACAGACATGATACCCGCTCGAGCGTCAAACTCCCCGCTCGAGCGTCAGACACATACTCCCGCTCGAGCGTCCAATCCCCTGCTCGAGCGTATACCGCTGCAGACGAAATACTGGATTGATGATTTCCCCGCTCGAGCGCCAACACCCCCGCTCGAGCGGACAAGCAACAACAGAGTCCCGCTCGAGCGTCAAAAGCGCCGCTCGAGCGGAGGGACCAAAAACTGGGCAAAAATTTTATGTTTTAAAACACAACCAACTTATTCCCAACTTGCCCAACACAACCCCAAAGCTCGAACACAAAGAGAAAGGGATATAAAGAGGATAAGACAGCAGCGCTCTTACGAAACCGAATCCGGATTACAGTTAGGCGCGAAAGGGAAAACCGGGATCGCTATACGGTTGGTAGCGGAATTGGTAAATTGAATTATGAAATGCATGAGATAATAAGGTTGTTGGTCTAATTCTAGGAAGTGTTGATTGTTGTAGAATGAGTTGTACGCGTGATGCTCTGTTGATTTAATTTTACAAATCGAAATGATTCCAAAGATCACACTTTGATAAAACTTGAAACGTGTGATTAAATAACATACATTACACATAAAAAAGTGTGATGTATTTATGATTTTGTAGTAGTTAAATGAGTTAAGTGGTTAATCTCATGATTTTAGAGTTATGTAATATTTGTGAATTGAAAAAGAAAGAAAATGTTTGTTGTAGACGTGACTCATGTTGTGAAGGTTGTTAGCGGAATTGGTAAATTGAATTATGAAATGCATGAGATAATAAGATTGTTGGTCTAAATCTAAGAAATGTTGATTGTGGTAGAATGGGTTATACATGTGACATGTTGTTGATTTAATTTTACAAATCGAAATGATGATGTATATGATGAGTTGATGGATTAAAGTTCCAAAAAAATGGTCCTTTCTTTCCAACTTGTGACCGGTAATGCGTTGTGTATTAACAGAGGTTTCGCTTTCCTTCCTATTTGTGCCCAATAAAGCGTGTGGATTGTTGGACTATATGGAGGTTCTGCTTTCCTTTCGGCTAGCCACCGGTAAAGTGTGGCACTTTGAGGTAAGTTCCAGATTTCCTTCCAAATTAGTGCTTGGTAAACTGTGTTGGAATGACAAAACGAAGCCGGTTGTTAATTGTGTTGTGTTCGTCACTTGGTTGCATGATTGTGTAGATATGTGTGCTATGGTGAAATTGTGTTGGAGATTGAAAGCGTGTAATTGAGATAATTTTGTAATGAATTGAATGCTATCGCTTGTCTATATGTTAGATGTTGGTATGCACAATTGGTGTTTTATTGATTGTAGTAACAGTTGATTGTGAAATTATTGTTTTTGGGTTAAAGATTAGTATGAGTGTGTGATTGATTGGTTTAAAACTTCTTTCTAAAGTAAAGGAGATATTGAAGCATTTCATTTAAATTGCTAATGATAAGGTGAAAAGATAATAAATAACTTTTTACTTGAAATGTTAAGTGGAATATTTTCTTCTTTTTTTTATTTATTTATTTTTAAATGAAAGTATATATTCATGTATGTTTTATTTTGGATATAAAAGAGCACGTTACTTATCTAAATATCACCTGATAGTATTCATAATCACATATATCTATAGATCTCATTATTTTGCATCATTGTAAATCCCTACTGGACCTTGTGCTCATCTCAATCGTTAAATCATTGTTTAGGTGTGGAGTTTGTTGTCTCGTTCAAGAATTCAAGGAGTTAGGTTACTGATGATTCGAGATTTGTTACTCACTGGTGAAAATGCCAATGTGTTATTACTCTCTTTATTATAATTATTGCATTTTTGAAATTCTCAATGTAAGCCTAAGGGCATATTTTGTAATGATCCGTACTAAACTTGTACCATTGTATATATGCGAGAGGGAACCTTGAATATCCTATGTATTTTGTTTTGCTTCTGCATTTTATTATTTCATAAATGGACCTTAATATGAAACTTGATAATATTATCCGATTAATAAAAGTTGGAGGATTACAACTTGACAACAAAAATAAATCATTTCTTGGTCAGCTAATGAAGTAGACATAACTTGCCAACAAAAATAAGCAAATACTTGATATGCTTTTTCTTGTGAGTCAAGGAATTTGAAAATTTTATAATCCGAACTGGTTCGGGCTGGTCCAGTTTAGTTCAGTCCAATTCGATAGGTTTTGACTAATTTTTTGAATTCGTGATTTGATTCTGGTTTGGAAAACTAGGAAATTGATCTTTTCAGATCAGTTTCAGATTGAGTTCACAGTTCTGAATTAGAAATGAACCAAACCATATGTAACTTAAACCATATACATACCATACACCTTGTGCATTCAATCCTACCATCTTATATACAAAACCCTAATGTTATTTTTTTTTTATTTTAATTATTTAGCATAATTTTAGTTTTGTAATTGTTGTTGCCAAGACAAAATGCTTGTTTGATGGGAGTTTTATGTTTGCTACATGTTAAACAATATGTTTATTTACTAAATATTATGTTTGTTTAAGTTATGTTTCAAAAAATCATGGGCAAATTAATGTTAAACAATTTATGATAGGTTTAATTTTTTTGAAGATGTTATATGATTTTTTTTGTGTGGATATATTATGTAAAACTGTTGTTCCAAACCAAGTCGAATTGTCTTAAATGATTTGATTGGAATTGGTTCCTTGATTAAATACATTGGTTTGGTTCTAATTTTTATGAAACCGTAAATAACAGATTAGTCCTAGTTTTATCTCCCACCAAACCAATCCGAATTATGCTCACCCAAAAGAAAAGACCAATTACTTGTACTATGAGAGAAAGTGAGTGTAACAACCCTCACTCTGTCTTAGTCATGCTCATATGCATTTATATGATTTTGCCTAGTTAAGTTTGTACCTGCAGACTTTGATTCGTTTTGCCTAGGTAAAGGTTCTTGTCTTGTTTTGTGCTATCATGTTTTGCCTAAGTATTATATGCATGCTTTGTTCCTTGCTTGGTGTGTCAAGCCTAGGTCATGTCATGCTCATATGCATTTATATGATTTTTCCTAATTAAGTTTTTACCTGCAGACTTTGATTCGTTTTGCCTAAGTAAAGGTTCTTGTCTTGTTTTGTGCTAACATGTTTTGTCTAAGTATTATATGCATGCTTTGTTCCTTGCTTGGTGTGTCAAGCCTAGGTCATGTCAAGCCTAGGTCATGTTAAGCCTAGGTCATCTCAAGCCTAGGTCACACCTTTGAACCTCTTACACCTAGGACCATCTTGGAACCACCTTGGTTGACCTCCCCCGTCACCTAGGCATATTGGCCGAGATGTCATCATCTAGGCCGAGATGTCATCATCTAGGCGTCCTAGATCTTTGATCCTTGCACCTAACGATCTTGTTCCGGAACTGGTATGACCTAGACCGAGGTGTGGCACAGCTAGGTCAAGTGTTATCCTTCCTAGTCGAGATCATTGAGACCTTACTTGCCGAAGCCTATGTCCTAATCCGAGATCATTGCCTTGTCAGAGTGCCCATGTCATCTTACTTGTTGTACACACTTTGTCATGCTCTTGTCTTTTCATCCTGGTACCTTTTTGAAAAGATCTAATTCGACGTTGCCATGTGTCCCAGCAGTGGGTATTAAGCCTGCTAGCAGTGAGAAATCCATATCATTTTGTCATATCCTAGCCTTGTAGAGAGAAGCTCTAGGGAGAGGAGGAAGTTCTTAAAGAGGGAGCTAGATTCCAAGCTTGATCCTTAGAGTTTGAACCGTTGGATTTGCATTTTGAGATTAGATTCTTGATCTATTCTTGCTGTTCTTTATGTTAATCTGATCACGTTGCATGATCTAGCATGATTCATGAGCCATGCATTGATTTAAAATTTGTTTTAGAAAGAGAAAATGGTGTTCATGTGTTCTTGAAGAAAAGCCTTGTTTTGATTCGAAAGTTTATACCAAGTTTCATGTTTTTGTGTTTGTTTTCATGAAATCTCCAAGTATGGGTACCGATGTCTATGTTTTTGAACTCATCTCATGAAATCTCAGATTTTGGAATAAAAGTTATGAATCTAGCATTCATGTTCTTCATGTTCTTCAAGGGAGGAAACCCAGATTTCCAGACTTCACCTTTCCCTAGGTGTGATCACCGAAACCACTCTTGTCTAGATCTCACACCTAGGCCAAGCATCGTATCTCACCTTGGCCTACCTTGCATGATCGCTTGCACCATTAGTCTATCTTGCATGCACACCTAGGCTAACCACTGCACACCTAGGCCGACCATGGTACACCCTTGCCGGCACCTTGTAACAACTCGGCAGGCAGCTGCACACCAAAGCCTAGGTAACCACACCTCGGCCAAGAGGTGTGGCACCTCGGCCAAGACCTCCTAAGTTCACCCAGCTAGGTCATTTTTGCCTAGATCATCTCTGTGCATCCATTCCAAGACCTGGTTGGTACCTAGCATGTTTTTCCTAGAAGAAAAACAGTGTTTTAACTCCCAGCACATGTTTTGCTTTGTCTTGACTTGGTTTTGGAAAGAAATGCCGGGATCATTTTCATTCATGTAAAGCTTGTTTTTAAGAATGCATTGCATAACCATCCTTGAGCATTCTTTCTTGTCTTCTTGAAATGCATTTAGTGGACTTTGCCATGTATTTGTAGGTCTTGGATTCTTGCCTTAATCCCTACACCCGTAGAGCTATGTGAGTGGTATTTTTAATAAAGCTATTTTATAATGTTTTGATAAAAGCTTTGCTTTGCTTTGTTTTCGAAAAGTATTTGATCAAGCATGAATGACTATCCCTAGTTTTTGTATCAAGTATTATGTTTGTTTTGATGACATTCTTGGTAGGTCCTTTCGTGGTAGGGGTCGTTAAGCCTATGTAGCACCTTTGTTTGAGATATCTCCCTTGCCACCGACGGTCTTGTACGGGTGGGTGTGTCTAATCGATTCCGAGTCGATTATTCCTTTGTTTTGCCACTGACGGTTTTCCGTGTGGGTTGTCTAACCGATTCCAGGTCAGCCACCGACGGTCGTGAACGGGTGTGCTTCGATTTCGGGACGGTTATTCCCTTGTTTAGTCCGAAATGTCATCCTTTGGTATTATGTAGATGTTATTAACATCCAAGAAGCTTTGAAAGATTTTGATTGATGAACTTGATTCATCTCATGCTTTGTACAAGTTGTTATATGTATTGTTTTGATAAAGATCTCGGATATCATTCATTTAATTATATCATTCACTGAGTATCCAAGCTCACCCTCCCCTTTACATATATGTAGGTGGCAAGCAAGAAGGCGGTGATGCCTAAGATGTTATTTGCAGGATATTTTGATTCATGTTTTGTATCATCTTCAAGATTATGCTTCTTAGTTTGTAATTCATTTCTTTTGTATATTTCGGTTTGAGAAGCCTTTTGATCAAAATGTAATATGTACTCCATTTTATTTTGTATTCAAGTTGTAAAACCATGTTAAGATGTATGTCATTTCATTTGATCTATGCACAGCTCTTATGGACTACTTAGATTTAAATTTATTGCTTCCGCACATGTAAGCCTCATATGTATACTCTGATTGTGTGTGAATCTTTGTAAGTTGGCCTTTGGTAATCTCGAATTACTGGCCATCACGGCACCATTTTTGTCACGCCCCAAACCCGCCCCTAAAAGTTTGGGCATGATCACTTCAGAAACGGACACTTAATTCGATATATACACTATATGGGGCCAGAACGGAAACATTTATTAACATAAAATAATGTAAATTAACATCCATCGAGCTCACACTTATATGCCAGGATCTCAATGTGCGAATAAACAGTTCCTTATGTGATAGACAGATATACAAGAAGCAGATGTTTGCATTCACACGATCACATATATGAGCATATATACAGAACCAGCCCCACACGTGGGCATACAACAAAAATATTGGTAGAGGAGATTATACTCGACTAATTCCATTAGACAAAAGATCAAGGACCAAACTAGATGTCATTAGGAGGAACCCCACAAAATGCATAAGCTTCTCTACATGGCTTGACCCAAAAAGGAGTGACCCAAGCTGAACTATGACCGGCCTTCAGGTTTAATACCCATAGAAACAAACATAACACAGAGTGAGCAAAGCTTAGTGAATAATAATACTTTAATGATTCAATGTATAAATCCGAATTATAACGTATACAGGTGCAGAAACCATATTCTGTAAGTATTTTCAGAACGGCCTTCGGCCCATCAGATTTTACAGATTGGCCTTAGGCCAAATAGATTTCACATATTGGCCTTGGGCCCAGATATCAACAGAATAGACTAGTCTTAGAGTCATACAGATGTTCACAGATTTTTCCCAACCGTTCACATTAGTTAACACAGTCGACTTGCGATTAACAGAGTGCTAATAAAATCATTAGCAATAAGTAAAGTGTACTACTACAGTACTACTACTCACAGCGCGTTGATGGTGCAATAGCCTCTTCCGGTATGTGACCTACACACGCATATAACCCACAAATTAGTCCAATTCCCTTTTAAATTCACATTTCATTCGTTAATTCTCAGTAAATTAACGAGCATTCTAAAGGCTTCAAATACCAATTTTAACCATCCCAGAGGGTCAAACAAGGAAAACAAAGCATACCGAAATTTCCCACATGGGCTGCACGTGTAGGAGTCCCTGGCCGCACGTGCGCCCCGTACATGCATTTATTTCAGTGTTTGAGCCTCAAAATCCCCTGTTTTCCGCACGTGCGGCTGTGAGCCCCACACGTGCGGCGATTCTGCCCTGTTTGGTGCAATCCGAAGCAAAACACATTCACAGCTAGCTCAACACAACACAAAGTGTAATAGAGAGGAATTTAAATCAATTTGATGATATAATATCACCATAAACATGAATCATTAAGTCATTTAGGTCTTTAATTCCTTCAATTGCACATAAACAATTCAATACTCTTGTATTTATGATTATATGTGATATATATATATATATATATATATATCAATATATGAATAATCAAGTGATTCCAACATGAGAAATCAAAGAATGAGATGAGATCCTTCCACATAGCTCACATTAACTCCAAAATAACCAAATGATAAGAATTGTAACGTCCTCAAAATAAACTCATTATATACTTTTCATTGACATGCATTATTCAAAGAAAACAATTTATTAATTCATTCATCAGAGTATTACTAAACGAAAACAGTCATCTCAAGCCTAGGTCACACCTTTGAACCTCTTACACCTAGGACCATCTTGGAACCACCTTGCTTGACCTCCCCCGTCACCTAGGCATATTGGCCGAGATGTCATCATCTAGGCCAAGGTGTGCATCACCTAGGCCGAGATGTGTATCATCTAGGCCGAGATGTTATCATCTAGGCGTCCTAGATCTTTGATCCTTGCACCTAACGATCTTGTTCCGGGATTGGTATGACCTAGACCGAGGTGTGGCACAGCTAGGTCAAGTGTTATCCTTCCTAACCGAGATCATTGAGACCTTACTTGCCGAAGCCTATGTCCTAATCCGAGATCATTGCCTTGTCAGAGTGCCCATGCCACCTTACTTGTTATATACACTTTGTCATACTCTTGTCTTTTCACTCTGGCACCTTTTTGAGGAGATCTGATCAGATGATGCCACGTGTCCCAGCAGAGGGTTAAGCCAGCTAGCAGTGAGAAATCCATATCATTTTGTCATATCCTAGCCTTGTAGAGAGAAGCTCTAGGGAGAGGAGGAAGTTCTTAAAGAGGGAGCTAGATTCCAAGCTTGATCCTTAGAGTTTGAACCGTTGGATTTGCATTTTGAGATTAGATTCTTGATCTATTCTTGCTGTTCTTTATGTTAATCTGATCACGTTGTATGATCTAGCATGATTCATGAGCCATGCATTGATTTAAAATTTGTTATAGAAAGAGAAAATGGTGTTCATGTGTTCTTGAAGAAAAGCCTTGTTTTGATCCGAAAGTTTATACTAAGTTTCATGTTTTTGTGTTTGTTTTCATGAAATCTCCAAGTATGGGTACCCATGTCTATGTTTTTGAACTCATCTCATGAAATCTCAGATTTTGGAATAAAAGTTATAAATCTAGCATTCATGTTCTTCATGTTCTTCAAGGGAGAAAACCCAGATTTCCAGACTTCACCTTTCCCTAGGTGTGGT